TTTGAATAAAACATCATTTTTTACTTTAAAAATAACTTGAGTTGACCACAGTCAACATTTTGTGAAAACAACCTTGGATCAGTGTCTTGACAATTCCGTTAGATCTGTATCATGATTCTGGACTTGGGCGTATGTCCGGAATTGAAATTGGAGGTCCCTAAATTGACTTGACTTATTTTGTCGAAAACTAGTATTTTAAAAGTTTGGAAATTTGCTAAGTTTGACCTGAGTTGACTCCATAGCTAACGGGTTTGGATTTTGATGTTGAAACTTGGAATAGGTCTGTATCGTTATTTGAAACTTGTCTGCAAAATTTGGTGCAATTCGAAATTTAATTTGACATGATTTGGACGCTTGGATGTGATTCTAGTCATTCTTGAGTTTGCTTTGAAATTTTATTCGTTTTGAGGGTTGATTTGTAGATTTAGATGCTATTTGCTAATTTAATTGCGCGAATAAGTTCATATAATGTTATTACATTTGTGTGAAATTTTGGTTTTGGAGCCCGAGGGGCTCGGTGAGTTTCGAACATTTTTCGGAAGTGTTAGGATTGTCGGTGCAATACCAGTTCTAGTGCTCTGTTGCAGATCTCGCAATTGCAAACATCGTTTGAAGAATTGTTCATATTTGTGAGCTTGGGTGGGGCTGTGCGGGGTGAATCTCGTATTTACGAGAATTTGGTTCGTTTTTCGAACTATGGCCTTCCGCTTTTGTGAAGAAAGTGGTCACATTTGTGATCACTGACCATTGGGGTCTGCTTCAATATTGCGAAGCTTCTGGTCACATTTGCGATAAGGGTATGTTCGCATTTTTGATCTAAATGTCGCATTTGCAACTTCTATTCTTCTGTGATAGGTTTCGCATTTGCGAGCCCTGTCTCGCACTTGCGATGTTTGAAATTGCGAACAAGACATCGCAATTGCAACATCTGCGGCTGGATAAAAGAGAGGGAAATGGGTGTTAGCTCATTTTACACCATTTCTCTACCCTAAACACTCTAGAGGCAATTTTCCAAGATAATTTTCTTCTCAAATTCGTTGGTAAGTAACTCTAATCCATTTCCTTTTAATTACCCATTACTTTTCATGAGATTGCAATATCAAATTTAGGATTTTGTACGGCCAAAATTAGGGATTTGGATAGAATTGAGAATTTTTTTAGAAATTGTTCTTGAGATATCAAATTGAGGTCGAATTACGAAACCAATCACATAACCGGGCTCGAGGGTGAATGAGTAATCGGGTTTTGGTCCAAACCTTAGGTTTTGACCAAGCAGGCCCGTGGCCGACTTTTTTCAAAAAATAATCAAAATTGAACCTCTTTCATCAAAGGGTAGTTCCTAAAACTTAATTTGAATCATTTGGTCGATAATTTTTTGGATTTGGTTGGATTGGAGGCTTGTTCAAAAGGCAAGACTGTCGTTGATTGATTGCTTTTGTTACGCAGTGATGTAAGTATTGAGTCTAACCTTTATTGGAGGTAATTAGGGAACCTTGAACTACGTGTTATGTGAATTTTGTGGGAAACGACGTATATGTGAGGTGACGAGTGTATATACATCGTCATGATACTTGCTTCCATGTCTTTGGTATTTCATGATATATCTTGTTTCATGCCTTAATTGTTATATGAGTGTGACGACCTGGCCAGTCGTCTCATGAGAACCACTCTGTTTCCTCCATTTCAGCTTCTTTATGCTTTGTTATCCGTGTTTTGTGGTATTGGATTGGTCGGATTGAGTCCGAAATGAGTTTGGTGAAGTTTGAGACACTTAGTCTCTTTTAAGAAGGCTTAATTTGAAAAAAGTCAACCGGATGTTAACTTATGTTTTAGAGGGCTCAAATGTGAGTTCTAATGGTTCGGTTAGATTCGGGAGGCGATTTGTGACTTAGGAGCATGATCGGAATGGGTTGTGGAGGTTCGGAGTAGAATTAGGCTTGAATTGGCAAAGTTGATATTTTAGCGATTTCCGATTGATAGGCGAGATTTTGATATAAGGGTCGGAATGGAATTTCGAGAGTTCCAGTAGCTTCGTCGTGTCATTTGGGATGTGTGTGTAAAATTTCAGGTTATTCGGACGTGGTTTGGTCGGGTTTTTTGATCAAAGGCGTATTTCAGAAGATTTTAGAAACTTAGGCTTGAATCCGATATAATTTGGTAGATTTGATGTTGTTTGAGATGTTTTGATGATTGTAACAAGTTTGAATAAGGTATTGGGTTATGTTGGTGCTTTTGGTTGAGGTCACAGGGGCTTCGGGGTGATTTCGGATGGCTAACAGAAGAGTTGAAGTGTAATTGCAGCTGCTGAAGTTGCTGTTTCTGGTGTTTTCGCACCTGCGGTTTGGGGACCGTAGGTGCGGTGCCGCACGTGTGGGAGAATAGCCGCAAAAGCGTTTTTGGGAGGATTCATCGGGAGTCGCAGATGCGGAAGCTTGACCGCAGATGCAGTTTGGGTCTTTTAAGTGACTTCCGCAGGAGCGGACTAATGGCCACAAATGCGGTAGAATTTCATGAATTAAAGCTGTAATTAATGGGATTAAAGGGCTAAAAATGAAGGATTAGGGCTTGAGTTTAAGAGGCCTTTAATGGAGGATTTGAGGGGTCATATGAACTCTGATTTTGGTATTCTTGATATGTATGGACTCGTGGGGAGATGAGGAATCTATCGATGTAAAAATTTCCGACTTTCGAGAAGTGGGCTCGGGGCTCGGGTTTTTACTAATTTCGGGATTTTTGGTATTTTTCAATTGTTTTTGCTTGGGCTTTGTTCCCTTAGCATATTGTGACGTATTCGTTCTGATTTTGGATAGATTCGACGCGAGTGGAGGCCGATTTAAGGGGCAAAGGCATCGCAGAGTAATATTTTCATCGGTTTGAAGTAAGTAACCATTGTAAATCTGGAACTGAGGGTACAAAACCTCGGTATTTGACTTGATTTGATAAGAGTGGTGTCGCACATGCTAGGTGACGAGCATGTGGGCGTGCACCGGTAGGGATTGTGACTTGGTCCGTCCCATAGCGACTATTAAGCTGTGTATTTGATTTGGAAATCTCACATTATTCCGTATTTCAGTTTTTATACTGTATTATGGGTTGTATGCCATGTTTGGGGCCTTTTGCTGACCTGTAGAAACCATTAGGGGCATTTTGACTGTTCTTTCTCACTTTACTTGTTAAAAACCATATCCTCAGTCATGTTTTTACCTGTTTAAATGATTAAAGCTGGTTTTATCACTCTATTCCTAAATGCGAGGATTGTTTGGGCTGAGATCCCTACCTTCTATTATTGTACCCGAGAGGCTGTGAGATTAATGACTAAGAGAGGTTGAGAACCCAATTGTGAGGATATTATATGTATATATTATGGATCGGGTTGCACGCCGCATCGATACTTATATGGATAGGGCTGCACGCCGTAGTGATATAACGCATGGGCTGTAGGAGCCCTCCGGAGTATGCACAACCCCAGTGAGCGTAGTCGACTATAATATATGGATCGGGCTGCCGCCGTAGTGGTTACTATGATTCTAATATTATAAGGTTATAAATGAGTAGAGTGCTGAGAGTGAGTACTGTGTGACGAGAGTTGAGTCACGAGTGACTGAGATGCTGCCCGAGGGGCCACATTCTGAGTGATTCCTTACCCTAGGGGCCTTGTTATGTTGTTTTCACTGTTTCACTCTTCCTTTAAACTAAGCCTCTGTTGGGAAATGCTGCTAAGTATATGATTTCAAGTTTTAAACTGAAAGTGTGGATCTTATGACGAAACTGGTTTTAAATTGTAAGTTGAGCTATAATCCTGTCGCTATTTTTAGTTATATGATTTTAAACTACTCGTCACTACTTTCAGTCTTTATTTACTTTAGTTACTTATTGAGTTGGCGTACTAACATTACTCCCTGCACCTTGTGTGCAGATACAGGTGCCCGAGGAGTAGAGTGAGGGCTTTCTGCTGATTCAGTGTTCGCCCGAGATTACGAGGTAGCTGCATGGCATCTGCAGCCCTGTCTTCTCCTCTCCATCCAGTTTATTTTCACATTTGCTAGACTTGATGTACTAGATGTTCATATATGTATTAGAGGCTCTAGACTCGTGACACCAGATTGTTAGGGTTGTGTAGTATCTGCTATTTTGATTTTCTGCATATTTCTGTCATTATAATACTTATAAAGAATTCTACATTTAAAACTTGTGCTAGAAAATGGCTTTATGTTAATAGCAAATGGGTTGTGGTTATGGATTTGTCGGCTTGCCTAGGAATGTGATAGGCGCCATCACGACAGGTATTTGGGGTCATGACAATGTGTTATTGACTTATATGCCATAATTGTTACTTGTCATTTAGTTATTCTTGTATAATATCGTTTGTCCCTTCCATGACTCCATGCTTATTTGATACTTGTCTCTACTTGCTTTACTCTCATATCTAAATTGTCATGTCTTACTTACCTTATAGATTTGTAATATTTGTTGTCTTCTATAGTATGGTTTTACTTGTATGAGTTTAATTGATAGATACCGATGAGTTGGTAAAGTTGAGACATTCGATGTCACGACCCAAAACCCACTATAGGTCGTGATGGCTCCCAACATCGCCGTTAGGCAAGCCAACGGTGAACTACCAACTTAATTATTCATTTTATTATTTTTGAAATCATAAACCTTATTAGATAGGGAAATCAATGCATTAAAAATCGTAGACACGTACAACCTAAATGAAATATAAAGTAAAAGTGTATCAATGGCAGGCAAAACCATAAACAAATTCTAGAATATCTCAAAACCCGATGTCACAAGTGCATGAGCATCTACTAAAAAGTACAATAACAATACAATATCTGTCTGGAATACAAGATAGACAGAATAAAGTAAATAATTATGATAGAGACTATGTGTAGCGAATCTTAGCATGGAATGCATCTTACCATAAAGTCGCCTCAGTAGCTGCACCTACGCACCCAAATGACCACCAAATAAACCTGTCAAATCCTGCACATTTAGTGCAGAAGTGCAGTATGAGTACGTAAATCAACACGTACCCAGTATGTATCTAGTCTAACCCTAAAGAGGTAGTGATAAGGAGATGACATTGATACTTACTAGTGGTCCAGTAGATCAAATGTAATAAAGTATAAAAGTATGAAACATGGTAAATAAATAATGAGAATAGATATAGGAAAATAGTACGGTCTACAGTTGAACAATGAACACAAAGTCCTCAACTATCAGATACCTCCTCAAATGGAATACGTAATGGTCAATACTAAACCAACAGTCACATTTCAAGTCAGGAAACTCATGAGTATGCGAAATCCTGATTAAGTATTCCGCACGATTTTACCGAGGCAAGCAGCCCGATCCCATAAAAGTATTTTATAGAACTGCCGACACAAATGACACGATCCCATAAGAGTGTTTCATAGAACTGCCGAGGAAAATGGCCCGATCCCATTAGAGTGGTTCATAAAATTATCGAGGTGAACGACCATATCCCATAAGAATATGTTACTCTGCCAAGGAAAATAGCCCGATCCATAAGAGTGTTTCATATTGTTGAGGAAAACAACCCGATCAACATAAAAATATGTTACTTAGATAAGGCGAACGACACGATCCCATAAGAGTATGTTAAATGATACCGCAAAGGCGAACGACCCGATCCCATAAAAGTGTATCACATTATACCACCGAGGAGAACGACCCCATCCCATAAGAGTGTATTACATGATATCGTCGAGGCAAATGGCCTGATCGCATAAGAATATATTACATGATACCGCCAACGCGAACAGCCCGATCCCATAAGAGTATTGCTGATGCATACAGCTCGATCCTATTAGAATATAAAACTTTTAAAGGTCACTGACCACACTCACGAATATATGTGTGAGTTATAAAATTCAAGAAAAACTATCGGATGAATACACACACGCGGAAGAAATCCGCAAAGGAAAGTACAATTTCCACAGCTAATCAAGTAGCTCCTCAAGTATCTAAAATAGCAAGTCTGATACTCTACGCGAGTATAGTCTCATATGTAGAGAACCATTGGGCCCATCTGAGAATCTGAGGATTGGGAATAATTTTTGCATTTATCTGGATCATCTTTGGGAAGGCCTTCATATCCATCTCTATCAGAAATTTTGTATGAATCAGGAAAAAATTGAATTTCTTGATTCCATTCTTCACTGCAAGAATTTCCTTGAAAGTGGAGTGATAATATTTTTCCGCATCTTTGAACTTTCCGCTTGCAAATCTACATATTTTTCTCTGGCCATCTTTTATTTCAAATAGAACAACATTCTAGTATTCATTGTTGGCATCAGCTTGCAGTATTTTCTTACCTTTTGAAGGGATGTAGAGGGATTTGACATCATTATATATCTACTTTATTTCCCAGACTATTTCATCTTGTTCCTTTCCCCATGGCGGAGCATTTTTCTTGAGCATCTTTGTGAGCAGAGAAATGTATGTAGAGATATTTGGAATAAATCTCTTACATAATTTACTACACCCAAGAATTGTAGGATCTTCTTTGTTGTGAGGCTGGTATCAGGAAATTTGAGTAGCTCCTGACATATATGTGGTCCTGGACTGTATACACCTTGGACAAAATGCATTCCGAGAAAATCAATCTCCTTTTGAGCAAGAACCATCTTTTTTGCTCAAAGAATGATCACGTAATGTGTTACCAATGCCTCAAATTGATGAAGCAAGATGATATGTTCCTCCAATATATTACTAAATAACAGGATGTCATCAATGTAAACTAAAGAGGTATGGAGGATGGGCTGGAAGATTTTTATCATGGCTTTTTTTTGAAAAAGGAGGGGGCAGTTTTTAATCTGAAGGGAATGACTTTCTATTGGAAGTGATGATTGGGGATGCAAAATCCTGTTTTGGCTCATTCTTCGGGATGGATTCCCAATTGCCAAAATGTAGATTTAAAATCAAACTTGGAAAAATATTTGGCCTTTGCTAAGTGAGAGAAAAGAGAGTTTATTTGGGATATGGAATTTATTATCTTGGAGGAAATAGTTAAGTGACTGGTAGTTAATAACTAACCCGAGTTTTCCTCTTGTTTGTCCAGCTCTTTTGTTGACATAAAATGTTATGCTTGCCCATTGTGAATCTGATGGCTCTATTAGATCAAATTCCAAGAGTTTTTCATCTTCTTTCTTTGCAAGCTAAAGATTATATGGATTCATGCATGAATGACTGGCTTTTGTTGGATTGATATTTTTATTCTTCTTGAAATGGAGCTTGATAAAAAACTCTTCATTCTTTCATAATGGGATTTTCCCTTTTTTCATAAAATCCTTGTGGGATTCAACACATGAATGCTCAATAAGATTTTGTTCAATCTCCTTGATTTGTTCGCCATTGGTGATTTGGAATAGCCTTGGAATTTCATAATAAGATTTGAATTGCTTCTTAAAGGTTAACCCGTTAGCCCTTATCTGGAGTTGATCATTTAGTTGTCTGAAAATGTCGAATCCAACAATAAGATATTTTCTTGGTACACTGAATCCTATCAGCTTGGTTCTGTACTTCAATATTGGAAAGAACTCAATTGTGACCGGGTGCTTTGTAATGACGGTGGTAGTCCGGATTCCATTTGAAGCAGTGTTGAAATCCTTAAAGTAAGGAACCCATTGTTCTTCAGGGAGAATAGCAGGATTCATGAGTGAACAAACAACTCAAGTGTCAATGAAAGCAATGACTCGAGTTGGTTTATCCTATTTGGATGGATAAACCTTGAGTTCCACTTGAGGGATTACTATGAGAGCGTTAATCTCTTCCTGGGCTTTAGTTGTTGGTTCTGAATTTTTGTAGTGGTCATCATTATGATCTTCGTATATGTCAATAGAGAATAAGGTTTCTTCAGTGGGTTCATCATCCATAGAGAATATGGACTTGAGTTCCTCTTTTTTCCGAGATGTATGCCAGTGTAATATTCAATCTCTTCGAGGAGTTTGACCAATTTCCTTGATTGGGGACAATTTCTTGCGAAATGTCTGATCTTGTGGCAAATAAAGCATCTGTTCTTTTCTGAAAATTTCCTAGCCTCCTTTGTCTGAAATATTTTGTGCGCCTCTTGGACCATGATTTCCCATCTAGAGTTCTTGGCCATCTGAACCTTCTGAATCCTCTCCGTCACCTAGATGTGTGGCAGGAACATCCTGATTCGGTAATCAGATCAGATTTGCGGCATGCTTTGTCAAGTGTTGGAATGTGTTAGATAATTTGTTTTAGGGCAGATCGCTTCATACAAATGTCATCCAATGTGACGAAAATAGCTTGCCTGATGTAGTCGACTTGTGAGATTGATATTGACTGAAACGTTTCTTCAATGATGGTCATGGTTCGTCTTGCCAACAACTTTGGAAGGGAAGAGACAAAGGCTTGCTTCACGTTGATGTCTCTGTCGATCTCGAAGTATATCTTCACTATTTTTTAAAAATGCTTGTCAATGTCATTTCTGTCGAATGACACACACTTCATCTCGAATTTTTGTCTCCTCATCTTTTCTTATCTTTGGACAGTATCTCCACAAAAAACTTAATGTAGGATTCTAATTTTGAAGGAAAAGTCCTAGGAAGGAAGAAAGGTATTTTTGTTTTGAATCCCATGTAAGTTCCACCAATATCTGAGGATTCTTGAGAACCATGAAGTGAGTTCTGACAGGATGATATACTTTTCTCGTTCCACCAGATTTTTGGTAACCATCCAAGTATAGAAGTCTTGGATCCTTTGAGACCATTTTAAAACCTTGATGTCATCTAAGGTGAAAGTGTAGAAGCCAGTTCCAATTGGTTTTGATGCCATGGGCTCATATCTTCTTTATGGGATTGGTTCATATGTCATGCCTTCTTGATACGCATCTACTTCATAAAAAATTGGGTCTCTTGGCTGTTTAAAATATTGGGGGATTGTCTTCTTCGGAAGAGTTCATTGTGGATTCATTGCCTGATTGAGAGCTATCTTCCATTGTATCCTCGTCTGATGAATTTAGTGATTCCGACCATGTGGTATCTCCTTCTGACATGTTTTTAGGTTGGGTGACATAGAGGTTTGGAACCTTATGATCAGAAATCATCAGGTTTTTGGGGTTGGACCCTTTTGAACTTTCTCCATGATCTCGCCTTTTTTGGTTTGTTTTTGGGCCGCAAGAGCATATTTCCTTTCCTAAACCATTTTTGCAATATCAAAATCATGTTCTTGCTTTAAGGGTTGGGTGAAAGAAATAGGATTTTGTGAGGTAGTAGGAAAAGTAGAAAAGGTGTAGTCCAATTTAAGTAGGGAATATGCTTGTGGCGACATAGGGAAGAAGGTAGGTTTTGAAGGGAAAATTGGGGTCTTTTGTGACACAAAGTGGTCATTTCTCAAAAGTTAAATTTGTTTTCCGATGGAAATCGTCTCATTTTGTTGTTGTTGGAAAATTAGAAAAGTGAAGTTCCTAGCAGACAAATCTCATATTGTAAATTTGCCAACCTTAGTTCCAAGGCTTTGATTAGTCCCGCATGGTGAGGCGATGTCTGCTCCACCTTTTCCTCAATTGTTTCCACTTTGCTCGTCATTTTGTTTTGTGTATGGGCCACGTTCTTTATGTGTTGCCAATGTTTTTCAGCACTTTGTTTTGACAGTTGGAATTTGCTCATTTCCAGCTCATTTTGGCCTCGATATCACTAATTGGGGGGTTTTTCTCCAGTAGCTAGCACTATATTTTTCTTGGGAATTTTTAGAGCATGGCTTATACCCTCTTTTTCAAAAGATTGAAGTGAAGGAAAATCTTGGGTATGACTGAGCTTGAAGGGCTTAACATGAATATTTGTGGTTTTGTGGGCTTTGGGGTTTTTTGAGTTGGTAAAGTTTTAGGTTCAGGTGGATTTTTGGATTCTGAGGTATGAGTTGATGGTAGTTTGGGTTTGGGTGTTATTTCACTATCTTCCCAGCTTTGAGTGAATTTTTCTGGTAATTTAGGCCATTCCTGGGGTTTGTAATTGACAAGAAATTCGTATTTATCCGAACGACTTAGTAAGCCAATTGAAGGATCTTTATTTTCATATTTGGCTTGAAATTGCTTTTCACTAGTTTTCCCTTTTTTCTTGGATTTTGGTTTGGTATTGTTGAGGCCAAATCTTTCCAAAAGATACAGGTGGTATTCATCATATTCTCCAATTGGATCTTCCAAACAGTCTTGGCAGTCGCAACCAATATCCCAAGGGCAGTGTCCGGTAAAGGGGCATTTGAACCACCAAAATCTTCTGCCCTCTTTGTCGAAATGTTGACACCAGTCATGTTCTTCCATGATAGTTTGTATATTCCAGAAGGGTTCACTTTCAGGGTTAGGGTCTGTATCTTTGGATTTGATCACTTGGAAAGAAAAGATGGTTTTATTGGATTTTTTGAGATGGGAATGGTCAAAGCTTATGGAAATGATTTTGTCATTTCTTTTAGTAAAAGTGGGCTCACCAGATTGCAGAGATTCCTCAGGTTCCCTTAGCTTTTCATAATTTGTGATCCAGGAATCAGGAAGAATTTTATTGAGCTCATTTCTGGGAGTTTGTCTGGGTATTTGGGTGCACATGGTATTTCCTTTGGTAGCATCAATATTCAAGAGTAAAGCATTTTCTCCTCCAAGAAGGAAGAGATCCATGGCATGATTTTGGACCCGCCACACCATTTGGTGATGAAGAGTGGCTTGGATAGCATCTTTGGCTTGTGGGGCTCCCTAGATTTGGATTTGGATTTTTAATGCTTTGATTAGGTATGGGTCATGAAGAGACATGTTAAAATTTGGAAAGATAGTTATGAAGACATTCCCATCATTCAAGGTAACTTTTGCAGTACCCAAATTTGCATGTTGGTACTCATAGTATCTTGTATCTATAAGAGAGAGTCGAGCAACAATGGGTTGACCTTTTCTTCCCTGATATGTTAAAGCAATTCGGATAGCACCAAAATGGATATGGGTAAATCCATGATTTCTCCATTATCTATAAAAATCATCTGAGATTTGAAGGGTGATAAATTGTTCTTCTCGAGTGGCAAGACTAGGATGTTGGTCAAGTTTTGAGGCAGCAACATATTCTTTGACTCATTTTGGTCTTTGTTAGACTAGGTAATGAATTTGGGTCTATGGTGCAAATTATGTTTTTGCAAAAGCTGAGCAAGGGTTTATGAGGGGTAGTTCAGTGGAGGTTACTTTCTGTTCGTCAGGTAGGATATCTACTTCATAGATGTAATCATATTTTTTGGAAAAAGTTTTATATAGAGTAGGGGACATATTCAACTTTGCAAAGGAAGAGGATGATGGAAACAACTCAGACATATTTAGTAAATTGTTCCTCTAGCCAAAAGAATGGGCTAGCTCTGATACCACAGTATAAAGAATTGAGCAAGAGACTCCAAGAAAGCAAACTAAATCATAGATACGAAAGTTTCCCTACATCACCACCCGGTATGATATTGAATAGAAATATCATAGTAGGTAGAGGTGCACCCGTTCTGAGTTTCGGGCATTCCCTCACCATATGACGGGTATCACCACACTCAAAGCAGGACGCAGCTGATGAAACTCACTCGGGCTTGGTTGACTAGACTGACCATTGAAAGCACCCTATGCTGAAGGTACACTAGACAGTGGCGGTGCATAATGAGCAACCTGAGGCCTAAGAGTAGCGCGAGTACCACTATAAGTTGGAAGTGTTGAATGAACTGGACGGCTCATATAGCCTCTACCATGAAGGGCTATAACTAGAGAACGAGCACCATTATATCCGCCAGAATCTCGAGGCCTCATGGCCTCCATATCCTCCCTCTCCCAGCCTCGCATACCCTCTAATCTCCATGCGATATTACCACCTGCTGGTATGGAGTGTCTATCTCCAACTCTCAAGCTATGCTAAATCTAATACCATAGTTGAGCCCCTCGATAAATCGACAAACTCGCTCTATAATTGTGGAAACAAAGGTAGGTGCATGTCTGGACAACTCACTGAATCTGACAGCATACTCTAGCACAGTCATAGGACCCTGGCATAGCTGTTCAAACTTTGGGCGCCATGCATCTCGAAAACTCTGGGGAACAAACTCTCTCAAGAATATCTCTGAAAACTGAGCCCATGTGATTGAAGCTGCCTCGGCTGGCTTACCCTCCTCATAAGACTACTACCACTAGTATGCCAGTTCCGACAGCTAAAAAGTAGTGAAAGCAACCCTGCTCGTCTCCACTCTACCCATACGGTGGAACTTCTACAAAAAACCCTATGCATCCTCTGTAGCTAGGCCGCTGAAAGTAGGAGGATGTTACTTCTTGTACCTCTCAAGTCGGAGTTGCTCTCCTCAGATATTGCTGCCCTAACCTTAGGCTGAACTGGGACGACCGGATGCACTAGTATAGCCTCTAGGCCCTGATCAATATGGAATCGCTGATCTGGGTATGAGTTGTGGGAGTATGAGCTTCTCCCCCAGCCTGAGATGTGGCGGGTGCAAGTGTAATCAACCCCACCTGAGCTAGAGTACCAAACATGCTCAAGAATTGTATGAGGGTCTCCTGAATTGCAGGGGTGGAAACATACACCTCAAGTTCCTGCCCCACAACTGGAGCAACTGATGGCTCCTCTGTTGCAGCTTGGGCAGGTGCTCTAGCTACTCAACGTTCCCTTCCTCGACCTCTGCTCCGCCCCCTCCCCAGCCTCTTGCAGCTCTAGTAGGGGGCGTGTGTGTCTAATCGTTGAATTTAGCAGTGCATGTCCTCACCATCTGTAAAAGGACAGAAAGACAATGATTCATAATTTCGAAGTCACTAAATTCACACGATAAGGAGTCAAAGAAGTGAAGTTTCCTAACAGTACCATTGCCCCTCGTAGATAAGTATAGATATCTTAGTACCGATCCGCGAGACTCTACTAAATCTTGTTATGACTCGTAACACCTATGAACCTAGAGCTCTGATACCAACTTGTCACGACCCCAATCTCCCTCTGTAGGATGTTGTAATGGCACCTAATCTCTAACACTAGGTAAGCCTAACATATATGAAGAATTTAACGGAAACAATAATAAAACTTCCAATTTAAACCAATAGCTATCATAGAAAGGACTCCGCAATCCAACTGAACCTAACTCCCTAAATCTTGTAATACCGAGTCACAAGCTTTACACGAGTATACTTAACATCCCATAATTTATGAAAAGGAGAACGAAATAGAAACTAGATAGAGGGTGACTCCGAGACCTGCAAATGCCGGTAGGTATACCTTGAAGTCTATGATCCAAGCCCGACTCACGGATGCCTAGGCTAGTATGAAGTACTTGGATCTGCACAAAAAGATGTGCAGAAGTGTAGTATGAGTACGCCACAATGGTACCCAGTAAGTATCAAGCCTAACCTCGATAGAGTTATGATGAGGTCAGGTCAAGAAACCTACTGGAATAAATAAACAAAATGAACAAGTATAGTGTAGTATGATAATGAAAACAAGGAAATGATATAAGGAAGAAATATAACAAGAATACCTACACTGAGACTAAGGTAATTAAGACATCATGGAAGAAACACATAATAAGAATGCCAAGGAACTGATGCAAATAAAACACAAGTGATATAACTGAAAGGTATCAACCAGAATCACTACTGAGGTACCGCCTCGTAGTCTCATTTCACAATTCAAATTACAATCTTTCCTTATACACTACGGGAGCCTTGAATTTTCCCGAAATAGCTACCCGCGTCTTAGCCCACCTTATCACACCGCGTGGATTCAAGTAATTCCCCTACTAGCAACACGCATATCAAGCTCACCTTATCTCACTGCATACATTTTAACCCCAATCCATATACCAACGCATGCATATTCATATCACAACACATCACAAATCGCGCCTCAAATGCTCAATACTACAACTTTCTAAAGAAGTCAACAATAATAGTATTTTCACAATAAATAGCCCATGGCTAAACCACAATATGTACAAGAGTCTTAACAATAGCAACCAAAAATGAATAACTCAACAAGAATGGTATTTCAACAAATTTACAATTTTGCCTCAATGTGAATCACGACCTTTATAACTTCAACACCATAATTCAACAATAAGATCTTCCAAGAAATAACAAATTCAAGTAAAGGAACTATGTCAAGTAAATCACGTAAGGATAGGTTAACGATTATGAAGATAACATGTTATGACAATTTAATTAAAGGCATGAAAGAATCTACGTAGCTCAAGCCGGTGAATTACCACATTTAGCCTGTGTACCCACTCGTCACCTTGCGTACACAGTTTTCATATACCACAATTAACACAAAACAACACCAATCCTAAGGGGTAATTCCCCACACAAAGTTAGGCAATGCACTTACTTAAAAACACGCTAACTCAATCCACTACTAAGCCTTTTCCACGATTATCCAACTCCGAACGACTCGAATCTAGCCAAAATAGCATTATGCCATAAACACAAACCATAAAAAATTATTCCGAATAATAAAGGTGCAATCTTTAAAGAATATCAAAAATTCAACTTAAAAAGTCAACCCCGTACTTGCATCTCGGAACCCGGCCAAACGTATGAAATCCCAACACTCATTCGATAATGAGTCCAACCAAACTAGAATTATTCAAATATGAACTCAAATTGCCAAAATTTGGTCTATCAAGTTTCAAAAAAATTTCCCAAATTTTCCAACTCAAAACACTAATTAAATTACAAAAACACGACGGATTCATGTACAATAGCCAAATCCGAGTTAGAATCACTTACCCCGATGAATTCATTGAAAATCCCTCTAAAAATCCCCAAAAACCGAGCTCTCTAGGGAAAAAAGATGAAGAATGAAACAAAACCCTTGTTTTTGAAATTTAACACTGCTACCCAGTTATCCTATCTCACGATCGCAGACAAAAGACTCGCGATAGTGGAGAACAAATCTCCTCAGCTCAAAAAAAGACAATATGCTATCGTATGACTATAGTCATGAACGCGATGGCAGGAGCTGCCAAGGTTACACGATTGCGGACAACACCACGTGAAAGTGAAAGAACAACGCAAGCCTCAGCACCGACTCGCCTTCTTTATATGCGAATACGTTCATATCCATGCAGTCACGATGCACAAGCTCCCAAACCTTCGCGATCAAACCATCCCAGCAGTCCCTAAGGATTCTACGTGATCATAGGAGAACCTTCGCGAACGCATAGAAGGAAACTAGAACAGAAAAACCAGCAGTCCTAGTTCAAGAGCAAATGGTCTGAACTCAATCCGAAACACGTTCGGGCCCTCCGGGACCCCGTCCAAACATACCAACAAGTCCTAAAACATGATACAAACTCGCTCGAAGCCTCAAATCATATTAAGCAATACTAAAACCACAAATTGTACATCGATTCAAGCCTAATGAACTCATGAATCCCTAACTCCTAAATTAATGTTGAAACATAACAAACAAACCCCAATTGACCTCAAATTTCGCACACAAGTCAAAATTGACATAACTGACCTATTCCAACTTTTGAATCCAAAATCTGGACCCGATATCAATAAATTCAACTCCCGGTCAAACTTCTCAACCTTCCAAACCTTCAACTTTTCAACTTTCGCCAATTCAAGCCAAAAAGACCTACGGACCTCCAAATCAATATTCGAACATCCTCCCACGTTCAAAATTACCATACGGAACTATTGAAATCGTCAAAACTCCTTTCTGAAGTTGTCTACACAATATTCAAATTCTGGTCAACTCTTTCAACTTAAACTTTCAACTTTTGGATTAAGTGTCTCATTTTTCACTCTGAAACTCGCCCGAACGAAAACCAAACATCCCGGCAAGTCACATAACCATAATAGAATATAGAGGAGGAAATAAATAGGAGAATGGGACTAAAATACTCCAAATGACCAGCCGAGTCAATACAATGTCTTTACTCTATTTTGACATAACATTAATTCTATTTTATTCTTAATCGCAAGCATTTGTTACAATTTCATTTGGGCTTTACATTGATTTTATCTGCATTTAAATGTTATGTTGGGCCTTGTCACTAATGTTTGCCTTTCTATTTTGCACATGTGATCAAAATGGGCCTGTTGAGTTCTCAAGAACTCAGGTTCAAGTTCTAGCCTCACGTCTGAAGTCATTGAAGTTGTTGCTACTATTCGTTTTCCATTGGGCCTGACATTCTTTAGGCCCAAACCATGAGTCCAATTCCCTTTGTTTTATCGCTTTTATATAAATTTGTTGTTGTTTCTATGTATATATAACACTGATAATATTGAGAGAATGATTTTCTCTTGTATCATTTTTTAATTATTTTAGAAACTTAGGCAAGTTGAAAAATCATAAGTAATATCAAAAGGAATGGCAATCTCTTCAATCAGTTAAATAACTTCAACTTATTTAATTATTTCTATTATACAATTTTCACTTTCATCTCTACTAACCGTTTTTTCATGAATTTTTGAAGTTCAAAACAGATTTGAAAAGTCGACAATCATCTTTCTTTAAAAGCCAGAATTGGGCAGATAATTTCAAAGTCGAGTTATCTACAAAACAAATGAACACAATTGCGATCAAAGAACTTCAAACGATGTTCTTCTAAACTTGGATGCAGAATATGGAAGAGTTTTCAAGGTATATCTAAACCCATTTCTCCAATAACTCTTATTTCACTACAGCTACAGAAATAGCCATTTTGTTTCACAAGTAAAAAGTATTTTTAAACCTAGCCATACTTATAAAGTTTACAAATAAAGCCTTATAGTCCTACTTTCAAAAGTTCTTTCAATCACGTAAATATGAACACTTTTCAAGGCTTTTACAAATGAAAACTACACTCTCCTTTCAAAATTGCATACATCATTTTCAAGTGATAAGTTTTAGTCATGACATAGAGTAAGCTACATATTTTTAAGCACTAACCAGTAGAATATAGACATTTAATTTCCTAAACCTAGTCTAAGTCCTATGGTGCTACCTTAGGTATATTCTAGGAGGTGCGTAACACCTTCCCCTTAGAAGAACAAGAACCCTTACCCAAATTTCACTGGTTAGCAGACCAATAAATAATAATTTAATAATTGAATAGGTATCGTAGTATACCTATAAATATTATATGGCGACTCTTTTTCATCATCAATAGGGACACTACTAGTTCAATCTTACTTTGACTCGTGCAAAATATGGTGCAACAACAATGTCCTACTCTGGAGTGTGATTAGATGAGGTTTGGGCTCCCTCTCCAGCCTGAGAAGTGTCTACGACCGCAAGAATTATCTGTACATGTGTTAAACCTCAAAATAACTCAAAATTTGGACCATGGTTTCCTTAAGCACTAGAATAGCAATAAAACCTTGGGAACTTGTGTTGGACCGATTGGAACAACCTGATCTACCACTGGAGCTAGGTGGCTCCTCAGAAGCATCTATTGTACGTGCACGAGTAATTGCGGGTGCTCCACCTCTTAGGGGTGCTGCCATACATACCTTGGTCTGAGATCCAGCCCTACCTGAGCCCTGCCTCCTCTAGATCCGGCCTAGGGTATTGGCTTCTGCTTAACCGTTACGGATGCATGTGGCCTCACCTTCTATAAGAGAATAGAAGAGTAAGGTTCAAACACTAAGATAAAACAAGGGACGCACAATAAGGAAAGAAAGAAGGAAATTTTCCTAAATCCCTGTCACACCTCCTTTTTACCCGCCCGTGAGGGATATAAGGGAGTTTTTCCAATTAAAGTGACATTAATCGAAATGGGATTAATTAATTTATTTTTTAGAGTCGCCACTTGGAATAGTTTATTATCGTGTCCCAAGTCACCGGTTTATTATAAAATCCCCAGTCGAGGAAATTTTCGACTTTATTTAAAAGTCTGCGAACCAGAAATTCTAAGTAAGGAATTTTGTTAACCTGGGAGAAGGTGTTAGGCATTTCCGAGTTCCGTGGTTCTAGCACGGTCGCTTAAACTATTAATAATTGGCTTATTATCTGATTTACTACACATTTTAAACCTATTGTGCATTTTTAACTTTATAACCGCCTTTTAATTATTTTATGGAATTATTCTGGAACAAGTTACGATTGTTGTACACTTGTTTGTGTGATACACATTGCGAATTATGTCACGGGAACCGTACCCACGATCTACAATATGTCTAATTTATTAAAGTTATTAGAAGGTGTGGCCAGGTCACATAAATGTACCTCCGGATTTGGAAATTAGGTATCACAGCTAAGTCATGGGAACCATACCCGTAGCTATGATGATTTTATTATAAACGCGCCTAAAGCAAACTACGAGTGTTTAAAAAGGTGTCTTTCCATACTAAGTTAATATTAATGTGAGGGCCATAGGTTATGGCTTTTATTTGTGTATGGCACACCGCAATTTATTTTTGAAAGAAAAGATTTGTATTTTTGTAAGGCAAACTAAAGATGCTCCTACTTTAATCTAATTTAAAATTAGGTATCACAACCACGTCACAGGAATTGTGCCCGTAGTTGTATTAATTTAATTGCGTGCATAAAGCAAACTACAGTGTTTCAAATTTGTGATTCATAGCCAATTTGGGATTGTTGTGAATGCTCTGACTTATGGACTTGACTTATTTGGGAAGAAAAACATACTAATACTACGGAGAAAAGACAAATCTAGGATGCATTACTGCATGGAGTATGAATTTTTCAACACATTTTGAAAGGAAGAAAAAAAAGCCATGTTAATTAGTTAGGTTTGTTCGTGTTCCACTTGATTTCCACATCAATTTTATTTTTTATTTTTTTATTTTTACAACAAAAAAGTTCAAAGAACTTTGCCACACATGCCTAAGATAAATATATTTAATTAACAATGCTACAAAATATATATTATAACATGAAGCAACATTTCAAATGGTAATCACCAAATATACAAGTATTTAGACGTCTCTGTGAGTGAAGAAAGCACATGTTCCTTTTAATTCAGATGCCAAAAAAAAAAACGAACATCTCGAGGTATCCTGGGAACAGAAATTGGAATAACTGACATGAACAGATCTTTTCAACATATATACTGGGACAGCCTCAAGCAGCAAAGTTAAAATCAAGTAGGCTCCTTATTCATATGTAAACTCAAAGCAATTAAATACTAATATTCCCACCAATCAAATATCAAATCAGTGATCATAGAGTCATATCGAACTATAATCCGACATGTCCAAACCAAGCAGATTCATAAATTTATATGCTTGTCCAAAGTGAAGCAACAGATTTAACAAAATGACATGGAAAAACTGGAGCCAAATCAAATCAGTATTTTATGCATTCAAAACTAGCAACAATCAGAAAATTAGAAGTGTACCTACCTTGTATTTTAAAAGAAACGAAGGAAAAGCGAAACGAAGCTCAACAGCAATTTCCCGTCCACAACAAACAACAATCGCAGCAAGACAACTCCAATTAGAGCTTCGATAACTTGGATCCTAAATAAGATACGGGCATCGAGAGAAGAGTTCCAATCAAGGGCAGCCACAATAGCTCGAGCTACATCGCTTGCTATACCATTTTCCTCTATCTTTTTTAGCTGTTAATTAATGCTTCAATAGATTCTTGAAGTTGTACATTATTCACCTTTGAAAAGGGTTTTAAAAGGAAGAAAGAAAAAATTGGAAAGAGGGTTTTAAGCAAATATGTCAGTTATTTGCACTCTGCGATGGTGGACAGAGTGGGGATAGAGGAAAGGTGCTTCATCTTTTTTGGGCTATAATTTGTGTGTCGTGTGGAGAAAATGAAGAAGAAGAAAGAGAGGTCTAATCTTTTTTGTGGAAACAACGCTGAGGGGGTGGATCCGATTTATCAGGTCTAGCCTAGGTTTCAATTAAAAGGGGGAGGAGTTGGGTCAGGCGGGTCGGGTTGGGAGATTGGGCTGGCAGAATTTGGGTATTATATTTGGGCTAGTTAGACTTTGGCCCAATATACCAAGACTAAATCAAATTCTTTGCCTATTTTCCTTTCTCTTTGTTTTTCTTTTTTTTTTCTTTTCTTTAATTTAAAATTCTAATTAAATTAATTAAAATTCTAAATCAATCTATTTTTGTAGAAATTAAAATTCATTATTTATTTTTAACATTAAAACGACTAATTAACTTAAAACTAAATAAAAATGCTAATTTTAAAGGCTAAAATCTAAATATGTAAAAAATGACCATTTTTTGTGATTTTTTGCTTAATAAAATTTATTCCTACATGCATTTGAACCTAAGATGGCCTGAAATTAAAATGTAACAATTTTTATGATTTTTCTATGATTTTAAAATATTAAAAAAATACATGAAATGCAACTAAATAAAGAAAAACTCCTAAAAATCAATTAAAATTATTTTTGGTATATTTTAGGAGTTATTTTAATGTAGGGCAAAAATTAGGTGCTCATAGTTGTCCCTCTTTGCTTAGAAACATGAAGAGTTTTTGAGCAAAGATAAAGTGAGCAATTACGAGCAATTTTTGCCCGTTTGAAACTCCATTTGGAAGCATTTTGAAAAAGTTTGAACGAACCTTGCTTCGGAGGTTGCCTACATATCCTTGGCTATAAAGGAATTAGGTCGGTGTAGTTCTAGAAGTTTTGATAGCTGGGACTATCGAATAGCTGTGATTTCACTACTGTTGCTGCTATTTCTGCTTGCTGAGCTCCTTATTACAACGAAATAAAAGATGAAAAGTTAAACTAGCTAATCCTATCAACTATGAGTTATAAGATTCCTATCTATAAAACTTCCAAAGCTTGATTTTGAGCTTTGGCTGGTTCTTCCTGCAGACTCTGACCTGAATCTTGATGCTCGTTAGCTGCAACTGCTGGTTCATTCTTCTTCGACTTTTCGGATCAAGGCGGGACATGCAATGCTTGTGACTTCAATCATACCTTGGGCAGTCCGCATCTTTTCTCTGCTTCTATACTTAGAGTTCAACTTCTTTTCTTGTTCTTCCTCTCTTTATTTGAGTTGATACTTCTTCTTTTGATCATCTCAAACCTTGTGCCTCACGGTGGAAACCCGTTCAGGCACCAAGGCAAACAAACAAACAAACATTTCTACCCCAGTTTTCACTAGGAAAATTTCGTGAGTTATTTGTAACAAAAATCTAAACTATTTCTTTATTGAAAGCAATAAAATCAGGACTGTGTATCCTTGGGAAAAAAGATTAGGGAGTGGAGCCCTATATCTATACTAAAATCAACTAGGGAGTAGAGACCCTATGTTGGAAAAGTGACTAGGGAGTGGAGACCTTTTGTCTAAAATAAAATCAACTAGGGAGTGGAGACTCTATGTTGGAAAAACAGATTAGGGAGTGGAGACCCTATACCTAAAATAAAATCAACTAGGGAGTGGAGACCCTATATTGGAAAAGCGACTAGGGAGTGGAGACCCTATGTCTAAAATAAGATCAACTAGGGAGTGGAGACCCTATGTTAGAAAGGCTACTAGAGAGTGGAGACCCTATGTCTAAAATAAAATCAACTAGGGAATGGAGACCCTATGTTGGAAAAACATAACTAGAGATTGGGGACCATAGGCTACCATAATTTTGAATTTTTCTTCTTCTTCTTTTCATTTCATTTTTTTTGTTTTTGTTTTATTTAAGAAAAATGAGTAAAAATGTGAGAAAGAATTTAGAGGAGACTTCCCTTTTGGATTGATTTTTGCCGCAAAGTTGTTTCTAGCCCTTGCGCAGTTTCTGTTTGGTTGCACCTGCTTCTTGTAAGGTTGCTTTGGATTGCACCTGTTTCATGTTTTCAAACAAAGAACAATTGTTAGTTTAAAACGGTGGTTGGTTTTGTGGCCTTGATTGTTTCAATCACTCGATCTCGGCCCGACTTCTTGGATGAAGATCTTAACTACAACTACTTGTTCCCTGAGGACCGATTTTATTTCAGGCCCTGAAGAACCTCTGTTTTTTTTAAGACTTTGCCATGACGGTTGGTCGGTGGAACTCAAACTTTTCGACTTAATTTTACTTCTATAGGCCTTTTCCTTATGACTTGTTGTTTTTTTTTTTTAACTTTGGAGCATTGGGAAACTTTTGACTCCTCAAAGTTTGTTGCAACGGCTAGTCGCGTGGGACTTAACCTTTTCCAACTTTATTTTGTCTTCATAGGCCTTTCATTCCTGGCTTCTTTCTTCCAACTTTAAAATCAGATCATTTGGGTACCTTGTCTTTTCAAACTTTTGCCGAGATGGTTGGCCACGTGGGACTCAACCTTTTCAACTTCATTTACCTTTATAGGTACTTCAATTTGATTTTCTCCTTCCAAGAGTTTTGATTTCGAAGCATCGGCCACCATGGCCGGTCGAGGTCGACTTATGACCTTGACTAGGCTGGTGCCTTTTTGCATATTAGCTTGTATCAAATGAGAACCTTGTAGATCAGTCTTACCATCCTTTTTTGTATCACGACCCGGATTTTCCACCCTCGGGAGTCGTGATGGCACCTACTAATGTGATCTAGGCAAGCCAATCCTTTAAACTAATTACTCCATTATTCAATTAATTCTTCTTAACAGATATAAAGCGATAATGTATAAACAGCAGAATATTTATTTAAGCTGAAGTAAAACAATAAAATATCTGATTCTGTAGCTATTACAACTACTTAAACCTTAATCACTCAAAACCTGGTGTCACAGTATCACAGACGGTCTAAGACTGCTAAATACAAGGTCCGAGAATAAAAGACATACTGTTTCTGAAGCAAAAAGATGAAACAGGAAATAAAAGATAGAGGAGACGCCAGGGTCTGCGGACGCCTGTAGGTCTAGCTTGGATCTCCGCGTGGACTCAAGGTAGCCTCCAAACTATGGTCCAATAGCTACTCCGGGATCTGCACATAGTGCAGAGTAGTATCAGCACAACCGACCCCATGTGCTGGTAAGTGCCTAGCCTAACCTCGGCGAAGTAGTGACGAGGCTAAGACCAGACTACCAAATAAACCTGTGCAGTTATATAATATACAGTAGAAAGTAAAGTAGGAATAAACAAGTAAAGATGGGTGGGGGAAACATGCTTCGGGGAATAACAGGTAAAACAAAATATAAAGAGAACTATAAAGGAATCAAAATCTAACCACTAATAAGAATAAGGAAAACAAAGGCAGATTTCACTTTCTGTTCACATCTTGTTGCAGGCGTGCAACCCGATCCCATTTCCTGTATCTCGTGGCAGGCATGCCACCCGCTCCCATTTCATGTATCTCGTGGTAGGCGTACCACCCACTCTATATCTTGTGGTAGGCATACCACCCGCTCTCATTTCATCATATCTTGTGGTAGGCATACCGCCCTCTCCCATTTCATTATATCTTGTGGTAGGCGTACCACCCGCTCCCAGTTACAAGCCAACAATAATTACAAGGAATCTCGGCAAGGGAACAAGAGCAATATAACAACTTCCCAGCAAGGGAACAAGAGCAATATAACAACTTCCCGACAAGGGAATAATGATATTTCAACAACATCCCAACAAGGGAACAATACTATCAAAACAAACATCCCGGCAAGGGATCATTAATAACAAACAAACATCCCGGCAAGGGAACAATGGTGATAATAACATATGAAGCGCAATAAACCACAACGGAGTCATAACAATTATAATACAAGACTCACCGGCATGCTTGACACCAACGTATAGATACTCGTCACCATGTCTATACGTCGTACTCCACAATTAACATGTAGCAAATAAGACACAACTCCTAATCCCTTAAGCTAAGGTTAGACCAAACACTTACCTCAAACCCATGAGCACAATCAAGCTTCAACTACCATTTTACCCCTTGGTTCCACTTCCAATTCGCTTGTATCTAGCCACAATTTACTTAATTACATCAATAAACGCTAAATGAATCAACTCCAATGCATGAAAATGAGTTTTCCAAAGTTTTACTCAAAAGTAAAAAATAGCCCCCGGGCCCACATGGTCAACACCTAAGGTTCAAACCAAAACCCGATTACCCATTCCCCCACGAACCCAAATATATAATTTTTTTAAAATCGGACCTCAAATCGAGGTCCAATCCACTTTTTTTTTTGAAAAACCTAGGTTCTATCCAAAACACCCAATTTCTCCCATGAAAATCATTGATTTTGAGTTGAAATCATGTGAAAAGATGTTAATGATTGAAGAAAATGAGTTAGAAATCACTTACCATTGTTTTGGTGAAGAAAGGTTGTTTGAAATATCGCCTCTTAGATTTTTGGGATTTTTAAAAATGAAAAATAACTAAAAATCCCGTCTAAATATACCCCTCCCAGACCCCCTGTGCGGACCGCACAAAATCGAGTGCGGCCGCACAGCTCCCATGTGGACTGCAATGACATGCTTTAGTATTTTGGTCATAACTTTCTCTAAAGATGTCCACATTGTGATTTCTTTACCTTTCTGGACACTAGACACAAAGTGCTACAACTTTCATTTTTGAATCATCTTAAAATTCCTTGTAGATCAAAAGATATTGGCTTCCGAAGTCGGACCAGTGAAATGTTTCTACAGCGCGGTCCGCACAAAATCTAGTGCGGCCACACAGGCCCCTCCGCGGCAGCATTCCATTTTGTGCGGACCGCACTGGTTTGTTCAATGGCCTTCCACTTCTCTGAATCTACATCAACTATGTTTTAGGCCTAAGACATCCCGGAACCTACCCGAAACTCACCTGATCCCTCGGAACTCCAAACCAAGTGTGCATACTAACTCAAAGACATCATATGGACCTACTCGTGCGATTACATCATCAAAATAACATGTAAAATCATAAATTAAACCTCAAAACTCAACATTTTCATCAAG